ACAGAGAGAGAGAGAGAGAGAGAGAGAGAGAGAGACCGATTGGTTGCCTCCAATGGGGGGGAGGGGGCTGGGAATTGAACCCCAGGTTCACACACAGCCCAGCTGCACACCTGGGGAGCTGGCGTCTGCAGGTGCCTGGGCCCAGCTGGGTGCCCCCTGGCGGGACCCACCCAGGAGGCCGCGGGGAGGGGCCGGGAGGAGCGAGGAACGTCGACGGGGGAGGGGCGGGCGGGGAGAGAGACACAGGAAGCAGAAGTAGGACAGATGGTTGCTCAAGCCCTGCGGAGAGGGGGCCCTCCCTGGGTTGCCCGGGGCGCCGGGCTGCCCGGGGGTGCCCACGCCAGGTGGCGGCAGGCAGGGCGTCCGTCTGCCCTGCGCTGTGCCCTCTCCCGGGGCCGACCTTGCGGAGTGAGGTTTCTTTGGGGGAGGGGACGGTGTGGGTGCCCCCAGGTTGGCTTCTCTGAGTCTCTGAGGGGCTCCCCCAAACCCCTCCCTGTGACCACCCCGGCCGACAGCTGGGCCGACTCACTCACCTGGGAGTAACGGCCTGCAGCCAGCACCTGGCTGCCCCCCTCCCCCCCGCCCGCCCCCACCTCCCATGCTGGCTCCCAGCAGACAGACAGACAGACAGACAGACAGACAGTCATGTGAGGGTGAACAGAGCGGCTTTTACGCGCTTTTACGATGGGAGCCTGGGCCCCAGCAGCCTGAAGGGCCTGCAAGGCCGTAATTACCAGCCTGGCTCTGCTTGGGCTGCTGTGCAAATTCTTCCCTTTTCAGCCTTTTAAGTGGCAGGTGCCCCTCGGGCAACGCGGGCAGGGTGACCCAGGGGCCCTCCCGCCTGGCGTGCTGCCCGGGCGCAGCCGAGGAAGGTGGCTGGGGCCCGGTTGCTATTTGCGAATGTCGCCTCCGGCTCTGAGGACCCCCCTCGCAGACGCGCGCACACACACCCCTCCGCTCCGAGGACAAGGTCATGTAAGGGGAGCCGTGGGCGGGGCCGTGCGGGCAGCAGGTGGCTTCGATGGGCCTGGCCTGGAGCCTGGCTGGTCCCCTCCTGTCTGCTTTTAAACTTGCTTCCTGAGGGGGTGGGGGGCTCCCATCACGTCGAAGCCCACCCCTGAAACCTGTCTGGTCACCTGGACCCGTGTCACCCCGATCCGGTGGATACACAAAATGTAACTGGCATTATCTGTGGGGAGCATTTCCTAGGTTGCTAGGGGTGTTTTTATTATGTTGTATTTTTCTAAAATATATATGTTTACTGATTTCAGAGAGGAAGGGAGAGGGGGAGAGAGAGAAATATCCCTGATGAGAGAGAGTCATGGATCGGCTGCCTCCTGCACACCCCCCCTTCTGGGGATGGAGCCCCCAACCTGCGCATGTGCCCGACCGGGGATCGAACTGTGACCTCCTGGTTCATAGGTCGACGCTCAACCACTGAGCCGCACCGGCCGGCAACCAGCGGTGTTTTTAGCGACCGACCGGCAGGGCGGCCATGAGAACGTAGGAGAACCCCCTCCCCAGCAGCGGGCAGGCGTCCTGCAGAGCCCGAGGCTGAGGTGGGGGCCGGCAGGTGATGGCCCTGGCGGTTGACCATCTGCCCGGAGCGGGAGGGTGAGCGGAGTGGGGCTCCCCGGAGGGAAGCTCAGGGCAGTCCTGAGGTTGGGAGATGGACATGGCCTCGTGCCAGCCCCCGTGCCAGCCACCGCCGATCCGAGTGGCCTGTGGGTGGACGGCGGCCCCCTGGCTGGGGGTGCGGGGCCGGGCCTGGCGCTGGGGGCTGGGAGCTCAGGGGAAGCTGTTGCCCTCTCTCTGTGCGTCCCTCTGAGCGGCCCTGCCCCTCCCTGTCACCCCCTGTCCCCTTCCCCCTCACACACACACACACACACGCACACACACACACACACACACACACACACACACCGATTCCCTCTGCTCCCTGAGGCCTGGCCATGTGATCCTGGGCGCCCCTGTGAATGAAGATCCATTCGCTCTTCTCCGGGGGAGGGGGTGGGGGCTGGGCCGGGCAGGTGCTCTCTGCCCCCCCACACCCCCTCCCCCGGGGCAGCCAGAGCCGCAGAAGTCTCAGAGGGAAGGCGGGGGCGGGCGGGCGGACGGGAAGAGATCAACCACAGGCCGTGTGTGCTTCTGTGCGTCTCCCATGGACACAGACACGAGGGGGTGAGGGCCTGGGCTGGGGGCGGGGGCGGGCTGGCGGGGTCCATGGGGGGAAAGGGGGGACCTCTGTAGTGCTTTCAATAACAGAGAATTAACAAAACAGATCACAGAGATAAAATAAAGTTAAAAAGCTCCCCCCACACACCCCGTGAGGGACTGCGCGCAGGGGGCGGTTCCGCGGGTGCGGGAGGGACCCCTCCCCCGTGGGGGCCGCTGGGTGGGCGAGGAGGCCTGGATGGATTGACACGGGCCTTTTATTTTTGTTTTTTTAAAAAAATATGTTTGTATTGATTTCAGGGAGGAAGGGAGAGAGAGAAACATCCATGATGAGAGAATCATGGACCGGCTGCCTCCTGCGCGCCCCCCTTTTGGGGATGCAGCCTGCAACCGGGGCCTGTGCCCTTGACAGGGAATCGAACCGTGATCTCCAGGTTCCTAGATCGATCGATGCTCAATCCCTGAGCCCCGCCGGGGTGGTGGGGGGGCGGGGGTGGTGGGAGGGCGCAGCGGGAGGGGGGCCTCCCCACGGCCAGGGCTGAGCTGCGGTTGGAGCTGGAACCCTGCGCGCAGGTGCAGCTGTGGGGAGGCCGGGCGAGGCCAGGGCAGGCGGGGGCCTGGGCGGGGCTGAGGGCCCCCAGAAGCGGGAAGGGGAGGGGAGGGGGACCCCGCGCGCCCCGCCCCGCCCGCCCCGCCCCTGGGCTCCTGGGAGGGAACGCGCCGTCCCGCCCGGGCCTGCGGCTTGGGCAAGCGAGCGCTCGGGACGCGCTGTTCCCTGATAAGATGAGGCAATCGCTCCGCAGCCGCCTCGCCGGGCGCCAGGGACATTCTGCAGCCCCGCCCCGCGCGCTGGGCCCGCAGCCACCGCGTTCCCCGGCCGCCCGCCGGCCTCTGCGCGCCCCCTCGCCTCCCCAGCACCCCGGTCATGCTCCCACCCGCCACCCCCCTGCGCAACTGCGTGCACACACCTGCTGGGTCCTCCGCCCCCAGCGCGCGCCTGGCCCCTGGGTCCCCAAGCCCCCACCACACACACCCCTCCCCACACAGGGACCCCGCCCGGCCCCAGCTTCCCGCACCCCTGCCTGTGCGCCCAGCGCCCCACCAGGCAGGAACTCAGCCCCTTTCCGCTCTCACCCGCCCCCCCGTCCCACAGCGCCCTCCCCCAAACAGCCCGCCCTCCTGGACGTGGGCGCGGCCGGAGGGAGTGGGGGTACCCCAGGCTGGGTTCTGGGATCCGGGAGTCACTTCTTTTACTTTAAAAAAAATAAAATAAAATTTTTATTTGTGACAGAGAGGAAGGGAGAGGGAGAGAGAGAGAAACATCCATGAGGAGAGAGCAACATGGACCAGCTGCCTCCTGCGCGCCCCCCACTGGGGATGGAGCCCTCAACCCGGGCCTGTGCCCTGACTGGGAATAGAACCCGCAACCTCCTGGTTCATAGGTTGATGCTCAACCACTGAGCACACCGGCCAGGCTCTCCTCCCTTTCGTGTTTACCATCCTTTGACTCGCTGCTGCCTGTTACATGGGGCACCCCCAGCATCATGGGGCACCCCCAGGATCACGGAGCACCCCCAGGGTCATGGGGTACCCCCAGCGTCATGGGGCACCCCCAGCATCATGGGGCACCCCCAGCATCGAGTCCCTGTGCCTCTGAACATGAAGCTTCTATTGTCTGTCACGATCACATTGTTTTAAAAATGGATGGCTGGCTTTCCTGTTTGATTCCAGCCCCTCCTCCTCCACCACGCCTGCCCTGCCCCCCCAAAAACATAAACTCAGTGAGGACAGAAAACATGGCCACACGCGGCCCTGGACGCCAGCGTTCCCAGGGGGAGAGAGAACACTGGCTGACATATTTTCCAGAGCTATTCCTCCCCCACACCTCCTGGGGCTGTTTCCTTGAGCGTATTTCCAGTTTTTCATGGGATTTTTGTTGGGGCAAAGGACACGCTCCCTGTCTGAAGGCTGTTGCGGTCGCCGGGACTTCCTTTCTGTCTGGTCTCCCGTTTGCCTCACGCACGGGGCGTAAGCGTTTTGTCTGAAATGTCTCGGGGGAGGGAGGCTCCCTGGGGTCCCGCCGGCACCTCCTCTTCTGTTTGCTGGCTTCACTCTTCTTCCGCGGGAGCCCCGTGTGGCGGCTCTTGGCGCTTCGCTCTCATATGTGGCGGGTTTTCCTTGGCCGCCAGGCCGGCGGTGGGTGTGTGTTCATATTGCGTTTGATGGGGCCATTTGGGGGGCGGGGAGTGGCATGGATTTCCTGGGCTGGGCACAGGTGGGCAGCGTCAAGGGCCGGAGTGGACCGCCAGGCCGGTGTGGCCCAGTGGTTGAGCGTCGACCTATGAACCAGGAGGTCAGGGTTGGGTTCCCTGGTCAGGGCACGTGCCCTGGATGCGGGCTCGATCCCCACTAAACGGTGTGTAACCTCATCATGGATGTCTCTCTCGCTCCCTCTCCCTCTCCCTTCCTCTCTCTAAAATCAATAAAATATATTTTAAAATAAATTAATAAAAGAAGCATCCATGAATAGAGAGAATCCTGGCTCGGCTGCCTCCTGCACGCCCCCTTGTGGTAGGGCATCTAGCGCGCAACCCGGGGCGCGCGCCCTCGCCGGGGAATCCAACCTGGGGGGACCCTGCAGTCCGCAGGCCGAGGCTCTCCGCGCTGAGCCAAACCAGCTCGCCTGTGCGTAGCTCTGGGGCCTGGGCGGGCCCGCCGTGGGTCCCCGGGGAGGGGAGGGGGGCCGGGGGGTGACGTGGGGGTGGCTGTGCGCCCCGTGCGCCCCGACCGACTGACCCACGCTGTGCCGTGTCCCCTCCCCGCAGGTGAGCGGCCCTTCGCGTGCAGCTGGCCCGACTGCAGCAAGAAGTTCGCGCGCTCCGACGAGCTGGCGCGCCACTACCGCACGCACACGGGCGAGAAGAAGTTCCGCTGCCCCATCTGCGACAAGCGCTTCATGCGCAGCGACCACCTCACCAAGCACGCGCGCCGCCACGCCAACTTCCACCCGGGGCTGCTGCCGCGCCGCGGCGGGGGCTCGCGCACCGGCTCGCTCAGCGACTACAGCCGCTCGGACGCCAGCAGCCCGCCCGTCAGCCCGGCCAGCTCGCCCTGAGCTGCGCGCCTCCCCCCGCAAACCTGCGAGGCCCCCCAAACAGCAGCACAGACCCCCCCACCCCCGACGCGGCGCGCCACCGCCCCGCAGGCACCACGACTCTGTGCGCGCGCGCGCGGAGGTCCCCCTTTCTCTCTCTCTCTCTCTCTCCCCCCTCGACAGCCATGAGCAGACAGATGCCCTAACTTCCTCTGTCACCCCCGTCTTTCTCTTTTGTCATCTGCAAAGAAAAGAAAAGAAAAAGCCTGCAGACTGAAGGGTCCCACGTTCGATTCCCGGTCAAGGGCACGGACCTGGGTTGCAGGTTGGATCCCTGGCCCCGGTTGGAGGGAGCACGTGAAGGAGGCCAGCCCACCCATGTGTCTCCCTCCCCCCCTCCCTTCCACTCTCTCCACGGAAAAGTATCCTCGGGGCCGGATTCATTAAAGAGAGAGAGAGAGAGAGAGATGGACGCAGGCCACCCCCTCCCTCCCCCAATCTTCTTCACCTCAGGTGTCAAACTCGATTTGTAAGGAAAAAAAATGTTTTTTAAACGCCCCCCCCCTCCCCACCGATTGCACAAGGGACAAACCCACGGAGGGGAGTCCGTGGTGTCGACACCCCTTTCTCAGGGATGGACGTGTTCCGTGAGGTCAGGGAGGCGCCCCTTCCTGCCGCCTTACTCTGGACAGAGATTTGCACTCGAGTTTTCCGCTGGGGACACTGCCGGGAAGGTGGGGTTCAGCGACCGGCAGGTGCCCAAGCCTGGGACCCCTTTCTGGCTGCCACCACCCAAGCCTCCAGCCTGGGCCCCAGCGGCCGGCCGGCCGGGCTCAGGATGTAGACGGCTCAGAGCGATGCCTTAAGCCGAGCCGGGCAAAGGGGCAAAGGAGCAGCCCCCCTCCCGGCCCCCCCCCCCAGGGGACGGTCTCCCTGTTCCTGCCTCCGGGACCCCCTTTCTGGCCTCTCCGTGGGGCCCTGGATCAGAGGGACAGGTTCTGGTTGGGAGACACGGCACCATGGACGTCTAAGGAGACAGTGGGGCCCGGACCAGGGCGGCTCGGTACTCAGCGTCCCTCCGGACGGCACCAGGGACCAGACCGGATCAGATCGAGTTCTCCGTCGTCCGAGGAGATGTCCCCAGGCGTCCAGGGTGCCTCTGTGGCCTGTTCTCTGCTCTGGGGACGCCTCTGCTGGAGCCAGTGCGTGGAGGGGTCTGGCCACCTGCCCCAAGGCTCCGTACCTCGCTGACACCGGCCGTGGTGACTTGGAGTTTCCGGGCGTCATGGGACAGACATGCCCGCAGGGACTGTGCCTTCTGCTTCCTCACGGGGGGCGGCAGATGGGAAGTTGCGGGAACGCTTTGCACGCGTCCTCGGCTGCCTGGACCCCTCCGGTCCCTCTGCTTGTCCTGACCGAGCCGCCGGGAGGCCCCCGCCCACACCCTCCACGCCGAGGAAGAGCAGAGAGCCAGCAAGTGTCTCCCGGACCCCAGGCCCGGGCCGGCTGCGGGTGCGAGCCCTGGCGGGTCCCCGAGGCCGGACCCCTGCGTGCCGTCCGCCTGCAGACCGCCGGGCACAGCCGGGGCCTGGACATGCGAGCCCCCAGGCCAGTGTGTGTGCGCGCGCGCGTGTGTACATGTGTGTCGGGCTGCGGGTATGGGTTTGGGGTGGACGTGGGGGATCTCACGGAGCCCTCTGCCCGCGTCGATGAGGAGGAATGACCCCGGGGACCTCAGGGGACTGTAGATGGGCGTCCGGGGCCCGGAGTGCCTTGGGGGTGGCCACCCCGCTTGCACCCACCCCCCTCGCTCAGGGTGTGGGGTGCTGGGCACACAGATCACCCGGGTGGCCGAGGCCTGGCTGGCGCTCACAGCCTGCAGTAGCCGGCTGCCCACACCTGGGTGTCATTGTGGGGGGTGCGCCCCCCCCCCCCCCCCCCCCCCGCCACAGGGCTTAGTCTGGGCGGCAGGACACAGCCCCACTTGCAATGGATCCGTGCAAGAGAGAGTGGGCTGTGCGGGCGCGTGGGGAGGCCTGGACCGGAAAACACCCCCTCGCGGGCGTGGGGCCAACTGTCTTCGTGCCCAGTTCCCAAGCCTGGGGGGGAGGGGGGAGGGGGGAGGGGGAAGGGGGGTCCCTCCCAAAGCTGTTTCCGCGTGGGGTCCCCCTGAAAGCCTCCCACACTCTGAACACATTTCACGTCTCAGGAACTCACACTCCAGGTTCAGGAATTTTATTCCAAAGTCCTTCGTGGGGAGGGGGGGGTCCCCGAAGGCGGAGGCGGCGGGAGGGGCGCCCCATGGGGAGCTGTTGGCCTTGGCGTTGGGGGGGAGGGAGGGGCTGGGACCCGCCCATGCTGCACCCGGGAAGGGGGAGGGGGGACCCTCAGCGCAGCCCCCTTGGGGGAGGAAGAGCTGGTTTGTCTTAGAGGCGAGGCAGGGGGTGCGGTGGGGGTGGGGGTGGGGGACCGTGGGGGCGTTGGCTTGTTTCCAAAGACAGCACTGGATTTAAGGTCTCTCCTCAGTGACCCAGGGCTGCTCCCCCGGAAGGAGGGGGGGTACCATTGCCTTAACACACACCTATGCAGGCGGCACGGGCTGTGTCTGCATTTCCCAAAGCGGTTCCTGGGCTCATGGCTGGGTGTGGGTCTGGCCTGGGGAGGGGGGTGGCATTGGGAGGGAACCCTCCAGGCACCCCATCCTGGCCTGGGGCTCCCTGGGGCTCCGGCCACTGGCCAGCCCTGACTTTTCCGGGAGGAAAATTCATCTCCCGTGAAGGACAATGGGGGGCAGGAGGGTAAAAGCCATGAATCTCAGGCCAAGTTCAGGTGGACAGGGCAGGGGGGCCTGGAAACCGCCCTCCCTCAGGGGCATCCCCCCCCCCCATGGGAGGACCCTCGGGGGACAGCCTGCAGACAGCCTTCCCGGCTAGGTCTATTATCTGGGATGAAAATTCATCTCCCACAAGGAAGGTCGTTAGGGGGCTGGGGGAGGGGGGAGCCACGAATCTCAGGCCAAGTTCAGGTGGGGGGCCTGGAAACCGCCTTCCCTCAGCGCCCCCCCCCCCACCACCACCAGGGGAGGACCCTCGGGGGACACAGCCTGCGGTTTCTTCTGAGATGCAGACGCCTTCCCAGGGTCTATTTCAGGGTCTTTCATTTGCCGGGGCCATGGCTGTGCCCTGAGGCACCCACTGGCCTCCTAGGGGTCACAGCGAACCCCTCCGGGCCCTGCGGGGCGAGGGGGCTGAGATCAGAAAAGAAAGCTTGTCTGAGTGGGGGGAGGGCTCCCCTCCAAATGGGCCTTCGAGGGACCCCCGGACCCAGCCATGGCGGGGGGGGGGGGGGGCGGGGGTGGAGGGGTGGCTCACGTCCCAGACAAGGGTGTCCCCTTTTATGTTTATTTTTTGTCTCAGCCATATGAGGGGAGCGGCTGTCTGCCCCCCCAAGCCTCCCGAGTCCCACAGCCATCGGGAAAGGCAGCCCCCACCGCCCCTGGGTGCTACGGAGCCACGGGCAGGGATGCCCTTGATGGGAACATGGTTGGAGGTGCCCTGTGGATCCTGCCAGGCCCCCCCATTAGAGCTGCAGGCCCCCCTCCTTTGTTCTAAGGCCACGTATCGGGGCAGGTGCCGGCCTCCCCACGGGGGCGGACATTGGCATTCCCAGGGGGTACCCAGACCTCCCCGTGCCCTGGGTCGCGGCTCGGACCAGGGAAGGGCGATTTGGAGGGGGGGGTTGAGGGGGGACACACAGCTGGGCCACAGGTGGCCGTCGGCCGCCTGCTTGTGGGCACAGGGCTGTCTGTGGTAAAGAGCCCGCTTCCTTTCTCGCGAGGAGCAGGTGCTACGCGGACCACACAGGGTCAGGGCGCTCCCCAGGGACCTCCGTCAGCAGCACCCCAACCTCACAGGCACACGTGGTCAGAGCAATAGCACCCCCTCTTTCCTGACTCCTGGTTCTGCCTGACTCGGGAAGGGGAGCGCTGCTTTTGTCGAAACCCATTTTTTTTAAAAAAAGTCATTCATTCGCCGGCCCGGCCCGTGTGGCTCAGTGGTTGAGCGTCGCCCTAGGGACGGGGAGGTCGCGGTTGGATTCCGGGTCAGGAAACGTGCCTGGGTTGTGCCCTCGATCCCCGCTAGGGGGCGTGCAGGAGGCGGCCGATCCATGATTCTCTCCCCTCATTGATGTTTCTCTCTCTCTCCCTCTCCCTTCCTCTCTGAATCAATACAAATATATTTAAAAATAAAAAAGTCACTCAGCCAAACACACAAGTGCTAGAAGGTCGAAAGGGTCGGAAGTATCAGGCACATCTCAGCCAGCGGGAAGGGCTTTGGGGGGTCCCCCATGCCTTTTGCCACCCCAAGGTTCCCGGTGCCATCCCAGGGACCCCATTTTCCAAAAGCTAACCGCTGAGGATGTGGGTTGGTGCTTGTGGGGGGGGCTTGGGGCTGCCCCGGGAACAGCCGGGTGCCTGGCCGATTTCCCGTTTCGGAGAGCAGCTCCGAAGGTTTGTCCCGGACACGTTCCAGAGAATTGTGTGTCAGGATTGGGGTGCCCCCTCCGGCTTACTACTGACAAATGCCTGAGCACCCTTTCGGGGGAGGCCTTCCCCTCACCCACTGTTGAGTGCCTGATGGGTTAGGAGGGTTGGATTCCGTCCCCGAGGGAAGAGGGGCCCATGTGGTTTCCGGGGACCCCCTATTGTGACGTGGGCCCTGCCCAGCCTCTCCCATTCTCATGAAGCTTTAAGAAACGTTACTACTTTGATTTAAAGGTGAACAGGATGGGCCGGGCTGGCGTGGCTCTGTGGCTCCGTGGCTGAGCGTCGCCCTAGGAACCAGGAGGTCACGGTTCGATTCCCTGTCAAGGGCACAGGCCCGCGTTGCGTGCAGGAGGCAGCAGATCCCTGATTCTCTCTCATCATGGATGTTTCTCTCTCACTTCCTCTCCCTTCCTCTCTGAGATCAATACAAATAGATTTTAAAGATGAACAGGATGGGGGTCTGGGGGGTGGGGGATTACGGGGCAGGGGGTCAGCCTGCTCCCAGGGCTTGGGGCGTCTCCCTAGTGGACAACTGGACACCCTGCCGGATGCAAACCAACCAGCCAGCCGCCGTGCCAGCTGAATGCCTGCAGGGCACCCGCAGGTCTGGCCGGAGGCTGCACCTCCCACGCAGAGCGGGGGCCAGCTGGGCTGCGGGTGGAAAGGGGGGGCCACCTCCCAGATGTTCGCTGTGGCTCCCGCGTGGCCGGGAATCGCCCGCGTGGGGGCGTGGGGGGGCCCCCCAGACCCGCCACCCGAATGACCCCATCCCGGTCCAAAGCCATGGGTGGAGCGTGTGTGGAATCTTTTGGCCCAACTCCACCTCCCCGCCCCCCCGACCTCCCCCCTCTCCCCAGGCGGGATCCAAGGGTCCAAGACCATTTCCACCCAACACGCGTTTTCCCTTTTTCCGTAGGAATTTTCTCTGTTGTTGTTTGTTGTTTGTTTTTTAACCATCACCTCACGTCACCTTCCTGGATCACTACAGTGAAGTATTGCCGATGTACAGCCCCCGCCTGGCCTGGGCCTCTTGCTCCGATGAAACTTTGTATGTATTTTGTATACGGCATAGAAGTCTATATTGTAACGATGTCCTCCTATGCAAACGGCAAAAGCAAAAAAAAAAAAAGAAAAAGGAACGGAATTGTACATTTGACTGTTTTAACGTGTATGCATGTTTAGTGACGTTTACATTTTGAAATAAAAATTTATGATTCATTATTGGATTGGCCAGCGTGGATTCTTGTTTTGTTTTTAAATAGATTTTTTTTTTTTTATTGATGTCAGAGAGCGAGGGAGAGGGGGAGAGAGAGAGAAGAACATCCATGACGGGAGAGCATCATGGATCGGCTGCCGCCTGCACGCCCCACACTGGGGACCGAGCCCGCAACCCGGGCCTGTGCCCCGACCGGGAATCGAACTACAACCTCCCAGTCAGTGCTCAACCACTGAACCACACGGGCCGGGCAATAAAAATATTTTTTAAAAAATTTACCAAAGCGTAAATCTCTCTCTCCCTCTCCCTTCCTCTCTTTGAAATCAATAAAAACATACATCCTTTTAAAAGCAGAGAGTTAGCCCTGGCGGGCTTGGCCCAGTGGATAGAGCATCAGCCCGCGGACTGAAGGGTCCCAGGTTCCATTCTGGCCAAGGGCACATGCCCGGGTTGCGGGCTCGATTCCCAGTTGGGGATCTGCAGGAGGCAGCCAGTCCCTGGTTCTCTCTCATCATCGATGTTCCTATCTCTCTCTTCCTCTCCGAAACCAATACAGGGATATTTTTTAAAAAATGAAATAAAAGCAGAGAGATACCGAGACAGCCTCAGGGTGCACTGTGTGTGGAGGGATAATCCCCCCCCCCCCAACCCCCAAGGAAAACAGCAGCTTGGAGCCACTGTCTGGGCCAACCCAGAGCTCATCTCCCCTCCGACAGCCTAAGAGGGCCCGGGCCGTCCTTAGCCTAATAAGGTGCCTTCTGCTTGCAGGTCTGTGCTGGGCCTCCCCTCCCTGGCTGACCACATCTCTGGGGTGGGGGTGGGTAACGGGCATTGTCCACGCCCCCTCCCCCAGCTCTGGGCGGTCGACCTCAGAACTTGTAAGAATTTTGTTGGAGCCCAGGTAGCCTGGCTCAGTGGTTGAGCGACGACCTAGGAGCCAGGAGGTCATGGTTCTTGGATTCCCGCTCGGGGCAGGTGCCCGGGTTGCGGGCTCCATCCCCAGTGTGGGCCGTGCAGGAGGCAGGCGATCCAAGATTCTCTCTCACCATGGATGTTTCTCTCTCTCTTTCTCCCTCTCCCTTCCTCTCTGAAATCCAAAAAATATATTTTAAAAAAGAGAGAGAAAGAAACGGTTTTGCTGGTGGGTCAGTAGGTGGAACACAGGGAAGCAGGCCTGGCCGAGGTCCGATTCTCCCCTGCAGACAGGGCCGCCGCCCGCACGTCCCTGGCCACAGAGCAGGGCCGTGCCGGCATCCTCCTGCGAGTTGCTGTGTCTAGACGGCAGGCAGACAGGCAGGCAGGCAGGCAGGCAGGACGCGGGCTGGGAGGGGGTCGGGTGGGGGAGGCTGGCCCGAGCTCCGAGCTCCGTCGGAAATCTTGTTCCAAACCACAGCCAGGGCGGGCTTGTTGGAAAATGTCCCTCTTCCTGGAGACCTCTGGGCTCGGCTGCTTTGAATCACCAGGCCACTTCCTTCCTGTGTGTATCTTACGCCGAGGGAAGGGCGGTGGGGCGGCCTGTGAGCTCCCTGGCTGCTTTTAAGTGTTTGTCTCTCGTTGGGTTCCTTTGGGGCTTGGAGGCGGGGCCGGGGGGGAGTGGTGGCTGGCTCTAAGGGTGATGGTGAAAGATATGGAGGCGACGGGTTTCCTCTGCTAGATTTTTTTAAAAAAAAATATTTTATTGATTTTTTTACAGAGAGGAAGGGAGAGGGATAGAGAGTTAGAAACATCGATGAGAGAGAGACATCGATCAGCTGCCTCCTGCACACCCCCCCTAGGGAAGTGCCCGCAACCAAGGTACATGCCCTTGACCGGAATCGAACCTGGGACCCTTCAGTCTGCAGTCCGACGCTCTATCCACTGAGCAAACCGGTCAGGGCTAGATTTTTATTTATTTTTTTTAAATTTCAGAGAGAGGCAGGGAGAGAGAGAGAGATGATGAGAGAGAATCATGGATCGGCTGCCTCCTGCACGCCCCACACTGGGGATCCAACTCGCACCCCGGGCCTGTGCCCTGACCGGGAATGGAAGGACCGTGACCTCCTGGTTCAGAGGTCCACGCTCAGCCACGGAGCCACGGAGCCACGGAGCCACCCCGGCCGGGCGTCTCTGCAGGTTTCAACCTCTGCCGGTGAGAACGAGAAGGAGGCATCTCTCTCCTCACGGATGTTTCTCTCTCTCTCCCGCTCCCCCTCCCTCTCTGAAATCAATTAAATAACATATTTTCAAAAATAAAATAAATAACAATAAAAACGCAGGATGCCCAGTTCTATTTCGACTGCCAAGAAGCAGCGAGTGAGGTTTTCGGGTGAGCGTGCCCTCTGGGCTGCACGACCGAGCGTCCTGAATGTTGCCTGGCTGCCCTCCCTCTTGGATGTTGGGCCTTTCACCCCGAAGTTGGGGGGGGGGGGGGGGCTGGGGGCTGAGGCTGCAGATCGGGGGGGGGGCGGGGGGGGGGAGCAGCCACAAGACAGCGGAGCCACTGAGCAGAGAGCAGACCTGGGAGGAAAACGAGCCAGATGGTCCACATCCTCGGGACAGAAGCTGTGCGTGCCCCCTGGGGCCCACAAACCCTCCTGTGGGTGGATGGGGATGTCCTGTGACCTCCTGTGCGTGGGAGGGGACGTCACGTGACCCCCTGGGAAACTCCCTCCGGCCCAAGCTCGCCTCGAAGGTCCCCGCCAGCACCCAGCCTTGCACCGCTGGCCAGGTGCCTTCCGTGGGCACAGAGTCGCTCCCCCAACCGAGCCCTGTGCGCCCCACATCAGAGGCGAGGCGGCTCTCCGGCAGCCCCGGGCCACCCCCGTTCCTGTCGCATCCTGACCTCTGGAACCACAAGGCACGAGATCCAAGGGAAAGAGGAAGAGTGGGCGTGAGAGGGAAGTCCCGGGAAAGACACCCCCCGCCCCCAACACACACACGGGAAGGCCTGTGTCTCTCTCGCTCCCACGCCGAGGCCGGGGAACCTGCTCTTCCCACGAGCAGGCTGGTCTTGGGGGAAAGGGACCCCCTCAAGTCCTAGGCTTGTAAGGATTCTGTGTGGGGATTTGCAGCCGGAAGCTGCAAAAGATACAAAAACGGCTGTATCATTTAGGAGAGCTTGCAGGGTTGTTTTTTTTTTTTTTTAAAAAGTGTATTTATTGATTTTAGAGAGAGGGGGGAAGAGGGGGGAGAGAGAGAGAGAGAGAGAGAGAGAGAGAGAGAGAGAGAGAGAGAGAGAGAGAGAGAGACACACGGCTTTGTGGTCCCGCTTACTAAGCATTCATTGGTTGATGCTTATATGTGCCTCACCACCAGAGCGCAGCACTGGGCTGACCTTGGCCCCAATGCCCCGCCCCACCGGGTCTGTCCATCAGGAAGCGGGCGGTTTTTCTTCCTTCCACCCAAGAAAACACACACACACACACACACACACACACACACACACACACACCACATGGCCTCGTGTTGCGGGCTGGATCCCCAGTGGGGGGCGTGCAGGAGGCAGCCGGTCCATGATTCTCTCTCATCATTGATGGTTCTCTCTCTCTCCCTCTCCCTCCCTCTCTGAAATCAACAAAAACATATTTTAAAAACAAACAAAAAGCAAGAAAGAATTACTCACAGGAGATACTCAAATTAGTTTATTATAATTCTTCAAACAAGTAAAAAATACCCCCTCCCCGTGTGTGTATATATATATATATATGTGTATATAATTTTTTTTTTGCTGCTCTTTATGTCCGGGATTAGCGTCCTTTTCTGGAGGAGACGCTGGCTGATGGCGAGCTGGTCTGCCTCCTGCCCGTCCTGAGGGTACACTCTGTGCGTGTCCGGTTTGAGGGTTCCCGGAGGCCCTCCTGAGAGGCTGGCGAGGACTCCCCCATCTTCTCCGTCTCCCTTGGAAACAAGGGCTCCCCTCCGCGAGGCAGGGTGGACGCTGCGTCCTGGACCAGGGGCGCAATCTCCAGAGGTAATCTTGGGCGCAAGAGGCTGCATATTGCTGCGCAAAACAGGCTATAGCTAAGGACACATTTTTTTTTGTTTTGTTTTGTTTTTTTCCTCAAGAAATGTAGGAGGCACCAAAAAGAGGGGACCGCTCAGGGAGGGGGCTGCGCCCTCCATGTGGTGTGGAGCCGCAGGCAGGGGGACCCCTAGCCTGTGGATGAGGAGCTCCCCCGCCCCCCAATAGGAATGGCTGTCCTGTACTGGCTGAACCCAGACAGATGCGGGTGGGGTGGGGGTGGGCTTCCTCCCCGTGGGAAAGGGGCGCAGCCTGGTGTCCCAGCAGCCTCGCCTGGTGGGGGCTGCCACAGTGACCAGAGGGTCGGTGCCTCGCCTCTCCCCTGGGGCAGCCACAGGCCTGCACGGAAGTGTCTTCGGAGGAGAAATGGGGCAGCAGGCTGGCGTCCTTGCTCGGAGGCGGGCAACTCCAAGTGGGCAGTTCAGAACCTTGCTTTTTGGACCTAAGGTGTCTTTGCAGCTCCTGCCGCCTGAGCCGCCCATCCCCGGGGCCATCGCTACACCTCACCCACGCCCTGCGAGGTAGGTTGTCCGGTGCCCATCCTAACAGCGGCGGCGCCCGAGGCCAATGGCAGTGTGAGTGGTGCTCCAGCGGGGGCGGGGCCCTGTGGGGGGAGGTGTTGCTTATGAGATGGAGCCTAAAGGGCCGCAGGGAACCACCAGGGCGTGGGCGCGAGGCCAAGTGCCTCCTCTCCTCCAGGGACCCGGGAGGGGAAGCAGGTGGCGCCCACCACGGAGGGGCGACCACGCAGTCCCGAGCCTCGCGCGCCTTCGCTTCTCCATCCGGGTGGTCCCGAGCGCACACACGTGACCACTGCATGGAAGAGGTCAGTGGCTGACTTAGGAAAAAGGGAAAAATAAAAATAAAAGCATGTAAAACACTCCCTTCTAAAAACAAAGGGCTGCAAATTTCCTTTATTTCGGAACAAAAATACTCTTGCAATGGCTATGAGTGTCCACGGGACGAGGCGGACGCGAGCGCGCGCACCCACTGCCGGCGGTATGACTTGTCTCCTATCCGTCTACTACCTGAGTGGCGTCAGTGTAGGTTCAGGCACCAGTAGGAACGTGGGACCCGACACGTACGTACACGACACTGACACGGGGGTCGCCGGCCGGCCTTCCGGGTGACCAGGGCGCGTAAAAAAAAAAAAAAAGACACCGAGCGCATGGAAAGCGGTCCTTCCCGGGGCGCGCGCTCAGGGCCGGGCCCCGCGCGCCTCGCGCCGCCGCCGCAGCTCCTCCCGGTAGCAGTAGGAGCACAGGTGCTCGGTCTCCGCGCGCCCGTAGAAGGAGCAGTTCTCCCGCTGGCACCGCTGCTGCGCCGGGCCCGGCCCGCCGCCACGGCCACCCTCACTGTTCGAGCGCACGGCTGGCGCATCGGCGTCCGCGAACTCCAGGCTGTCGCGCGTGGCGCCGAAGCCGTTGGTGTAGGTCTGCGATTTGGACTCGGCCGCGCCGGCCGCCCCCGCCGCGCATGCCAGGGCCCCGGGCACGGCACGCGCCAGCGACTCCACGGTGTTGACGGTGCGCAGGGCGGCGGCGCGCGCGGGGCTATAGGTCTGCGAGGACAGCGAGCGGTTCTGCTGCGGGTACGTGGCGCATGGCCGCAGCGCACCCACAGCCGGGGCGCACGTCTCGTCCCGCGCGCCTGCGGTCTGCACGTGGATGATGCTCTGGCGCGCCGGGGGGCTGCGCCCGGGGACGGGTCCGCTGGCACCGGCACGCCGTGTGCCCCCAGGGCCCGGGGAGGCCGTGCCGCCAGCCGCTGCGCGCGCAGCCCGCGTGCCCGACGCTGGTCCTGGGCTCGGGCGTTCCTTGAACTTGAGCACCAGCTGCGTGGGAGGCCCAGCCGGCGGGCCGGGCGATGCGCGCTCGGAGGCCGGTGCGCCCTCGGGCTCGGGCCTGCGGGGCGGCCGCTTGGCGGTGGCCGGGGCTGCGGCGGCAGCGGCGGTGGCGGCCTCGCGGCGGCGCTGCTCCTGCTCGGCGCTGAAGCGCTCTTGCGCGCTGGTCAGGTAGTAACCGATCATCTCCTCGTGGAACTGGTGCCGGTGGCTGGTGAGCAGCAGGCCCGCGAAGATGAACTTGCGCTCGCCCTGCATGGCGGCGCGCAGGATGTTGAGGCTCAGCTTGACGTCGGTGCTGTACTTCCAGGAGTCGCTCCGCGGCCCGCCGCCCTTGTCCGCTGGCGACGCGCCCGCCGCCTTGTCCTTATCCGTGGGCGACGGCGTGGTCTTCTCCGACGGCGAGGTGCTGGCCGACGTGCCTGACTCCTCCTTGCTGCCCTTGCGCGACTTGGCCTTCCGGTCCTTGGCGCGCTCGGGCGCGTCCCCGCCGCCGCCGCTCTTGCCGTTGGCGGAGCCGGCGCGGCCCATCTTGCCGTGCACCAGGCCGCCCAGGCCGCCCATGTTCTTCTTCAGCTTGATGCCCAGCGTCTTGCTGAAGCTGCCCAGCTTGTTGGCCACGGAGTCGGCGCGGGTCTTGTCCTTGTCCTTGCGCGGCTTCTCCTTCTCCTTGTCCTTGCCGTTTTTGCCGTTATTGCTGTTGGAGTTGCTGCACACCGAGTCGCGGTCCGAGTCCAGGGAGTCGGCCAGGGACTGCACGTCCTCGCCCGCCGAGGCCGTCGGGGATTCCGGCTGCGCCAGCGGGGCCTGTGGGAGGAGGAGGCGGACAGGGAGGGCGGGGCAGGAGGAGGCTCAGAGAGGAGCTGTCGCCGAGTGGGACCCATGCGACAGACCCTGTCCCTGCCCTGCGCTCGCTACCGAGGGCGGGCATCGCGGTCCCGAGCCCCAGGGCAGCTCTGGTGAACTCAGGTGAGGCCCTTCGGCGGGGCGCACAGTGGCTCAGGTGCCCGAGGGCGGGAAGGGTCCTCGCCTGGCTGTGTGCTCAGGGCCCCGTGTGGGATGTGGGGGTCACCACGGCCTGGACCTGCTCATTGCAGAGCCGAGCTGCGCCCAGCCCGGAGCCTCCCGATTCTAGGTCGGGAGTCGCTGCCGCCACGCCTCTCCCGTCCCGGGCAGGTACACCCCCAGCAGCGCGGAGCAGACTGCGGCCCCTGACGGGCATGCAGAACCCGGGAGCCAGGCTGCCACCGACTGTCACGTGTGCCATCCGTAAAACGGGTATGATACCGGCCCTCTGTGAGGATTACATCCAGGTAAAGGGCCCAGCCGGCATGGCTCAATGGGTGAGCGTCCACCCATGAACCAGGAGGTCCCCAGCTCGATTCCGTGTCAGGGCACATGTCCGGGTTGCGGGCTTGATCCCCAGTGTGGGGCATGCAGGAGGCAGCCGATCCAAAATTCTCTCTCATCGTGGATGTTTTTCTCTCTCCCTCTCCCGACCTCTCTCTAAAAATCAATAAAAAATATTTAACACAATACAGGTAAAGCTTGAAGTGTGACAGCGCTAGGAGCAGCGCCCCCGTGTCCTGGGCCCCATACTGCCTCGAACATCATCCCCGCTTTACAACCAATGAACTGACGTCTGGGAGGACCAAGTATTTGTATGCTTTTTTTTTTTTTTTAAACAAGTCCCTTTCCCTGGGAATTCACTCCTGAGCTAACAAAATATCAGCCAGACACTTAGAGGACTCCCTGTCGGCACCGGAAAGCGGGGGAGAGACGCAGGGTGCGTGGGGACCAGCGCGGGTTCCCCGGCTTCCCAAGGACGTGCACGCGGCCTCTCATGAACTCCGCCCCGCGCAGCACCTGGTCCGCATCTCGTAGACCTCGTGTGTGCGGGGACTTGCCCACGGTTTGTTTGCGAAATGGGCGTGTATTCTCTCCCGGGGAAAATGCAGGAGAAAAAAATCCCCCGGCAGGAGCTGCGCTTGCCCGCGCAACCATGCGCATTGGGAACCGCCGGAAGTTCGACCCACCAGAGCCTGGGGGGCCGGAGGTTCCCTGCGAGGCTGGGCCGGGGGGTGGGGTCCCCCGCGTAGCCCGGACCCAGTGCTTGGGAGGAAGCCTCGGTTCTGCTGGGCGCCCAGCCCAGGGCCGCGTGCGCACGGTCGCCCCCGGGGCCCGCGCCAGGCTCACCCGCGTCTCCGAGGGGATCCGGATCCACGTCACGTTCATGTAGCTGTGCAGCAGGTTCAGCTTGGCCTCCAGCGACAGGATCAGGCTGCAGGGAAGGAAGACGCCGAGTGAACCATGAACGGCTTGCCGGCAGTCGGGGGAGGGGCGGGGGCAGCCGGGGGGCGTCTGGGGCGGGAGGAGGGGCGCAGGGCAGGGCTTACTGCGCCAGCCGCGCGTTGTCGCTGTCGTCCTTGCCCCATTCCCAGTCCTTTCCCGGGTCCACCGCGAAGTGCAGCGGCAGCAGCTTGTGCTCCGAGTCCGTCAGCGGGATCACGGCTGGAGCAGAAGACAGAGCCGGGTGCCAGGTGGCCCAGGGCGGACGGACCCCCCCGCCCCCCGCCCCGCAACCCCAGGGGGCACGGGAAAGGGAGTTCCAAGGCCAGATGTCTCCGTGACTGAGTCAAGCCCAGGGAGCAGACAACATCTGTGCCCGCGGGGCGCTAGGATCACAGGACTCGGCGGCCGGGCCGGGGTTCCCGGGGTTTCCCAGGGACCCACACAGGGCGTGTAATTAACTCCGCGGCGCGCAGCGCACGGCGTTCCCATCTCGCAGGCAGAGTTGTGTGGGGACTTGCCCACGGTTTGTGTCCGCAGTGGGCGTGCGTATTCCTCTCCCGGGGAAAACGGGGCATAAAAAAGGCCCCTCGCAGGCGTGGGGGCAGGCGCAGGCCTGGTGCACCCTCCCTGCACCTTCCCTCTCACAGCGGGGCTCCACCTCCGCCTCCCACCCGCCTGGGAAGCAGATGTGGCCGGCACCCCCACAGGTGGGGCAGGGGCCGAGCCCACAGCCCGGGGCCTGGGCCGCCTCTCTCAGGGCGAGTCCTCGGCCTCTCCCCTGCGCCTCCCCTGCCGGCCAGATGTGGCCTGGCCCTGATCCAGGCCCCCGTGAGCCTTTGGGGTCAGCGAGCCCCAGGCCCCGCCCCTGCCCTGGGCCTGCCGCCTCCTCCTTCCTCCCCTCCCCCCAGGGCTGGCCAGGCCCCCTGCCCGTCCCCCAGGATTCCGGGCAAGAACAAAAGGCCACTAAACCAGCAGGATCTAAGGCTGAGCGCAGCGCCTGCATCTCCCCGCACCGCCTCAAGGCTGCCCTCTAGTGCTGCTGAGGAGGACGTGCAGCCCTGGGGAAAGGACCCTCCAGCCCCCACTCAGCCCGCCGAACCGGGGGTCCAGGACAGGAGCCAAGGGCGACAGTGTTGTTGCTGTCACTCCTCCCCCGAGGATATCTCCCACGGAGTTTTTTAGAGAGAACGGAAGGGCGGGGGAGAGGCAGAGAGACAGCAATGGGAGAGACGCATGGGTGGGCCGCCTCCCCACCACGGCCCAGGCTGGGAATCCAACCTGCAACCGAGGCACGTGCCCTTGATCGGAATCGAACCCGGGACCCTTCAGTCCTCGGGACGACGTTCTATCCACTGAGCCACACCGGCTGGGGCGAGGACACATTGTAAATAAACAGGGGGCTCTTTAAAGCAGGGGGATCGGGAAGCCTTTGTTCTAGAACAATAAGCAGCTTAAAGTGTTTCTGTAGGGGCACCTTGGGCGTAAGGAGAGGCCTGCCCACCCCTGGCTACTTCCCGGTCCCAGTGTTTAGGAGGGACAGGGACAGGGAGAGAGAAACATCCGTGATGAGGGAGAGTCATGGATCCCTGCCTCCTGCATGGCCCACACTGGGGACCAAGCCCACAACCCGGGCCTGTGCCCTGACTGGAACCCCCAGGCGTGCTTCCGGGGAGGCTCCCAGCCCCTCGCCGCACCTGCTGTAGCCACCATGCTGTGCAGGGCCCCGTGGTGGGGGCGGGCCTACCTTGCTCCCTTTGCTGGTCCCGCTGCTCCATGGACACCAGGGCGGAGAAGTGCGCCTGGTCGTAGGCGAGGACCAGGGGGGAGCAGTGGCACCGGTTGGGAGGCACCTCCAAGGGCAGGTAGATCCCTCCGAACGGGATCGGGGCGAAGGCTGTGGACACAGATGAGGGAGGGCGTGGGGAGCCCGCAGGGACAACGTGGACGGCACCCTCACCCCCAGGAGCCACGGGACCCTGGTTCCTCCAAGGGTTTCCTGGAGGGGCTTCAGTTTCCATGTTTTTTAAAAAATTGACTTGAGAGAGAAGAAGGGAGAGGGAGAGAGAAACATCCATGATGGAGAGAATCATGGATCGGCTGCCTCCTGCACGCCCCCTACTGGGGATGGAACCCTGACCGGGAACCAAACCACTCCTGGCTCATAGGACGACGCTCAGCCATTGAGCCACACCGGCCGGTTTGCAGGCTTCCAAGTTCTTCCAGTAAATCCCGCCTCCTCCAGGAGGTCCCCTTTGGTTTCTCTAGGTCACGGCCGCTCACCCCACCCGCAGTCCTGCTCTGTGACGTGGGGACGCACCTTCCCCGCCCGAGTCCCTCAGCATCGTGTCGGCCACGACCACGATGGGCCTCCTCAGGATGTGGGCCAGGACGAACACGTGGAACTCCTCCAGGCTCTCGTACACGGGGTCCTCGGCGTTGTCCACACTGCGGGGCAGAGCAAGGCCAGCTGTCACCGCGCCAATGGGAGGCGGGTGTTGGAGACTGGACGCCTCCCTCCAATCGGACCTCCATGGACCCTGACCAGCGCCACTGAGTCCATCTTCCTCCCACGCTCCCCACTGATGACAGACACACACGTCCCGGCCCTCCACCCCTCCACCCCTCCACGCCCGGAGGTCTCCCTGGTGGCAGAGGCAGCCACTCAGAGCTCGTGGGAACACAGGGGGCGGCCCTCTGGGGCGTTAAGGGGACACAGCAGGGGCAGGAGGCAGGCTGGCTTCCTGGCCCCCCTCTGCTTCTAGCTCTTGGGCTCAGTCCTCCCGCTCAGGGTGAGGTCTGCCCCGGCGTGGCTGACCGGCCGCTGGGGCCATGGCTACCAGGTCTGAGGGGCTTTCTTTTCTTTTTTTTATTGATGTCAGAGAGGAAGGGAGAGGGAAAGAGAGAAACATCAATGATGAGAGAGAATCATGGATCGGCTGCCTCCTGCACGCCCCCTACTGGGGATTGAGCCCACAACCGGGCATGTACCCTTGACTGGGAATCGAACCTGGGACCCTTCAGTCTGCAGGCCGACACTCTATCCACTGAGCCGCACCAGCCAGGGCTGAGGGGCTTTCTCAGAAATACCCCTGTGGACGAGGGCGGCGAGAAGGCTGCCTGGACTCGGCCCTCAGTGTAGGAGGGGAAGTGACAGGGTGGCCCTCTCCCGCCCCCCCGCTGGCTCACCCCCCCCCCTGCTGGGCTCACCCCCCCCCCGCTCCGGGCAGAGCAGGCTCCGAGACCTTCATCCCGAGTGGAATCTAGTCTGGAGGCGGGAGTGTCTGTGTCCCCGATCTTGGGGTGCCAGGTGCTCCCTGGTTCCGCTCCCCCCCCTGCCCCCCGCCCTGGCCCCGGAGAGAGGGGGAGTGGGGGCGGCACTTACCCCCCGCCCGAGCCGCCGCCGTTCTTGCTGAAGTGCGTGCGCGGCTCGCTGGAGGCCAGCTTGAGCAGCTCCGTCCACTCGCGCTCCCACTCTTCCTCGGTGTACACCAGCCCTGACTGGCACAGGACGCGGGGTCAGGGGGCGCGGCCCCTCCCCCTCCCCGGCCAGGTCCGCCGGGCAGCCCGCTGGCGGGCACACCTGTGAGTGGCCACCGACTGTCCCCATGTCTGACAATAGTTTTCAGAACCCCAATCTCCTTTCAGTGCCATTGGGGGTCCACCCAGCACCCAGGGGGACGCCTGCACAGGCACAAGGCCTGGGCCGGCCATGAAAAAGCCTAAAGGGCCAGCGGGCCAGCATCCAACACAGCAGGCAGATCCCTCCTCCAGGGACAGCCATGTGCCAGCGTGCAGGTGGGCAGGGCGCCTGGCATCTCAGCACCACGGGCGAGGCTGCACGTGGCCCTGAACCGCCGCCACCAGCAGGCAGACAGGGTGGCCCCTGAGAGCGGAGACGGTGGGTCTTTGTGATGCGTTGGTGGGAGCGGACGCGCGCTCACTGCGTTAGGGCCAGGCCAGTGCTTCCCGCCTTGTTCCAGCCACGCACCCCTGGGCATCTCTGACATCCTGGGCCCCCCACCCCGTGACACAGAATTCTTCTTACTCAAAAAGTGAACCCCTGTTCACGTGGAGGAGGCCAAAAAGGCCATGAGCTCGGTCTCAACAAGCTGCCAAAGAACATGGCGTCCACGAGAGAGAAAAACAAAAGGGCGGAAGGACAGCGGACGAACTGAGGAAGAACTCACTAAGGAATTGCTAAAAAATAATATGAAGGGATATGAAAAAATAGCAGATAAAGTTTCAAAACACATCACAGAGAACTGAGATGCATAAATATGCCACAGTATATATTTAAAGCCTGCGTATGAGGCCCCGAACCCTAAGGAATGCGAGCCATTCACTGTGAATAACGCATTCTCGAGCTGCCCCCTGGGGGCGTGTGCCCCACGCTGGGAACACTCACTGGTTGGGCTCATCCTCAGCGGGTCCACCTCTGAGGCTGATGGTGCCCTACTCGCCCCAGAAGCCACTCCACCTTGGCCCTGGGCCCAGCTCCCGACTGGGGGCGCCCACAGCTGCGCCCGGGGGAAGTGGGGGTCCCGGGGAAAGGGGGGCGGCGGCACCCACCTCCTTGTTCTGCTGCGTCTGCTGCCACCGCCACCTCCGCTTCAGGGCTTCCCGCTCGGCCCCCGTGCGCATCATGGTGTACAGCGCTTTCCGCAGGACCAGGTCGCGGTCGTGGAAACCCCACATGCCTGCAGCGGGGGCGGGGTCCGGGTGTGCGTGAGGAGGGGGACACGCCGGGAGGGGCGCCAGCCGCCCAGACCTAAGGGGCGCGCCTCCCACGTCTGCGCGCACAGAGCTAACCCACCCCTCACTGTTGGGTCCCTGTGATCTGCCCGCAGCGCTCCTGGCCGCCACGTGCCCTGTAAATTCCCGCCTTCATGCTTTACCCATGGGGGCTCCCTGCCTGGAATGTCCCCTTTTTAAAAAAATATATTTTTATTGAATTCAGAGACAGGGAGGGAGAGGGGGAGAGGGAGAAACATCAATGATGAGAGAGAATCATTGATTGGCTGCTTCCAGCATGCTCCTACAAGCCTGCAACCGGACTGGGCATGTGCCCTGACCAGGAATCGAACCGTGACCTCCTGGTTCATAGGTCGACGCTCAACCCCTGAGCCACGCCGGCTGGGCCTCTTTCCCATGCTTTCGAGTCTCAGTAAAACCCCGCCTCCTCCAGGAAGTCCCCTTTGATTTCTCTAGATCCCCCTCCCAGCAGTTCCACTCAGGCCTCCTTCTATCACAACAGGTCTTTCCTCGTGTGTTTTCTATGTCTCGCGCCCCCCACCCCACACCCCACCCCTAAACCGTCCTGGCGCTTGGCAAGAACAGCAGGATTGCTGGGGACTCCTCTGGTGGCAGCGAGGCGCGTGGCTCTGCTGAGCGGTGTCTGCTTTCCCCATGCCCAGAGCAGGCCTGGGCGCCGCCCCCCTCCTGTCAAGGAGCTCACCCAGGGAGGCTGCGTGCAGGAGGCAGTTCCCGTCGCCTGTCGTGGCCAAGGGAAGGAGCCGCTTGCAGCTGGTGCACGCCGCGGACCACCAGTTCAGGCGACCTGCAGAGAAGCGCGCTTTAGTCCTCACTCTTTATAAAAATATATTGTTATTGATTTCAGAGAGGAAGGGAGAGGGAAAGGGAGAGAGACATCCATGAGGAGAGAGAATCATGGATCGGCTGCCTCCTGCACGCCCCCTACTGGGGATGGAGCCCGCAACCCAGGCATGTGCCCTGATGGGGAATTGACCCATGACCCCCTGGTTCATAGGCCGATGCTCAACCACTGAGCCACACCAGCTGGGCGAGAAGCTCACTTCAGAACAGAGGCTTGGAGCCGCGGCACCAGCGGGAGTGTGTTTGCTACGTTGGCATAAACCTCAGGGGTTTCCATCTTTTTAAAGATAGTTTTTATTGATTTCAGAGAGGGAGGGAGAGGGAGAGAAGGAAACATCAATGAGGAGAGAGGATCATGGATCAGCTGCCTCCTGCACGCCCCACAACTTGGGCATGTGCCCTTGACTGAGAATAGAACCTGGGACCCTTCAGTCCATAGGCCAACGCTCTATCCACTGAGCCACACCGGCTAGAGGGTTTTCTGGCTACTTTTTCTTTCTTTTATTTTTTAATTCTTACCCGAGGATATGCTTAGAGAGGAGAAGGGAGAGGGGAAAGGAGAGAGAGAAACTCCAATGTGACAGACACAGCATTGGCTGCCTCCCATGTGCGCCCCAACCAGGACCCGGGATAGACTCTGCAACCCAGCAATGTGTCCTTTACCGGGACTCGAACCCGTGGCCCTTCGGTGCGTGGGCAGACACTCTGACCATTGAGCAACACCAGCCAGGGCCACACCGTCTCTCCTGCTCCCTGTGGTCAGTGAGACCAGCCCGCTCACCTGCCTGCTCCAGGGCCACCATGGTGGCCTGCTCGATCAGGTCCCGCTCGATGAAGCTCCTGAAGTCCTCGCTGTACACGCTCAGGTCCGGCAGCTGGAAGGTGTAGATGGGCATCTCCAGGGGGCACTGCTCGCTGCTGCACTCGCTGGCCACGTGGGACCGCGCCAGGGACACGATGGCCGAGCTGGCGTGGGAGATGCCCCGGGACAGGCGCTTTTCTGCGGGGCGGGGGTGGGGGGGAGAGGGGAGACTGAGGTTCTAATTCGGCTGGAACGCTGGGGCCCAGCAAACAGAATCAAACTCAACACTCAGTCACCACAGTTCGGCGGGCTGTGTGCGTGCGTGCGTGTGCATACGCGTGTGTGACCTAGTGCAACAGGAGACACATGGATTTCGTTGTGTAAATAGAAAGAACGTGAAATGATTTCAGATGCTAGGACTATAGAGTTAGAAAGTCCAAGTGATTAGAATCGTCTTAGTAAGAAAATAATACGATGAGGGAGAATCATGGACCCACTGCCTCCTGCATGCCCCCTACTGGGGATCGAGCTGATGGATTTTTAGAGAGAGTGGGAGAGAGAGGGAAAGACAGAGAGGAACATCGACGGGTTGCCTCCTGCATGGGCTGAGGAGGAGCCTGGAACCAAGGTACATGCCCGTGACCGGAATCGAACCCGGGACCCTTTGGTCCGCAGGCCGACGCTCTATCCACTGAGCCCAACCAGCCAGGGCCCAATTTTTCTTTAGACGTTTGCTCAGAGTTTTACTTTTCCTTTTGAGTTTAAAACGGGAAACGCAGACGCTTGGAAGGGGTTCTGCAGGGGACAGCCTGAGCAGGAGGCGGACTTCGGGGCTCGGGCACTGGGTGGGGCGGGACAGCAGGGGACCCGGCGGCCGGCTGGGACCCCGGCGGGCACCTTGGGCGATGTCGTCCTGTCTTGGCAGGCAGGCCCGCTCCGCCTTGTGCCCGGGCTGGGCTGGCTCGCGCTCGGGCGGCTTGGGACCCCGGCCCTCGTTGAACACGTGCGGGAGGTTGGCCGTGTGCACCTGCCGGAGCTGCTCATAGTCGCTCAGGGCGGCCGTCAGGTCCCAGTTTTTGCCTGTGGACGAGAAAGGACGGGAGGTGGCCCGGCCGGCGGGGCTCCGTGGTTGCACGTCAGCCGACCTATGAACCAGGAGGTCACGGTTCGATTCCCGGTCAGGGCACATGCTGGGGTTGCGGGCTCCATCCCCAGTAGGGGGCCTGCAGGAGGCAGCCGATCCATGACTCTCTCTCATCATGATGTTTCTCTCCCTCTCCCTTCCTCTCTCAAATCAATAAAAATATATTTTAAAAATAGCGAAAATCATGTCCCCACCATCGCCTTCTCTCACATTCTGGAGTCCATGTGCCACGGCTGCCCGGTGACAGGCCTCTTCCCTTTCGCCCGGGTGAGGGGGGCTCCCGAGAGGGAGGTGGGGGCGAGGAGGGGCCTACCTTCCAGCAGGTCTCTGGCCAGACCAGGTTCTGCCCCCGTGGACCGAACGAAGTCTGACAGGACCGCGTCCATATCAAGCGTCATGGGCTCGCGCAGGAGGGCCGCCCAGCACTCGGCCGAGGGGGGGTTGGGGAGCAGGCTAGAAACCATCCATCTGCGGGGAAGGCGGGGAGCGGGGTCAGGGCGCGGCCGTGTGCCCGGGCACGCGGAGCCCCTCCCGCCTGCTGGGGGATTTATGTATATAGTGTTCATCCTTATCCAAGGTTACTTTTCCATTGATTTTTAGAGTGAAAGGGAGGCGGCGGGGGGGGAGAGAAACATTGATGTGAGAGAGACACATCCACTGGTTGCCTCCTGCACTGGCCCCAATCAGGGCCGGGGATCTAGCCTGCAACCAAGGTACGTGACCTTGACCGGGAATCGAACCTGGGACCAGTCTGTGCCAGGGCTGACGCTCTATCCACTGAGCACACCGGCTAGGTCTACTGGGACGTAGTTTTGGGCTGGGTTTGGGACGACGCCCTGATTCTCCATGTCAGACGTTAAATCCTAACAGTTGAAGCCGCCAGGCTCCTCCGGGGGGCACTTTTGTGAGGTGTAGCTAGAAGGTGAGAAAACTGTTGGACCTGCCCGGCCAGCGTGGCTCAGTGGTTGAGCGTCAACCTACGAACCAGGAGGTCATGGTTTGATTCCCAGTCACAGGCCCGGGTTGTGGGCTCGGTCCCCAGTGGGTGTCGTGCAGGAGGCAGCCGATCAAGGATTCTCTCTCATCACTGATGTTTCTCTCTCTCTCTTCCTCTCAGAAATCATTAAAAATATTATTTTTAAAAATAAAATTATTGTGGAGGGGAGGAAAGGGGGAGAAAATGGGAGATATCTGTGAAACTATCAACAATAAAAATATATTAAAGAAGAAAATGATTGGACCTGATGTTTATGGCACCAACTAAGAGACTGTCTTCCTCCCTCCGTCCATGCCCCAGAGCCAGGGCTGGGAGTCTGTTCTCTCGTCACCGCCACCTGGGGGACAAACCAGAGACAAGAGCTAGTTACTCTCTGCACCCTGGGCAGGCGGGTGGGGAAGGCGTGGCCTCTCGTCAACTCCACGAGGCTGCCTGTGGAGCTGGGCCAACTGTCCTCGGCCACACCGCTCCCTGCAGACACCTGCCCACCGGCCCCTGCTTCCGGGGGCTTCTCAGCGTCCCTCGTGTGAGCCAGCACCTACCTTCCACCTTCCACAGTCCACAGCTGTGTGTAACCTTCCACCACACACCACAGCGACACACTGCGTCTCAGCTTTTTTTCCTTTATTGCGGTAACACGTATGTAACACACAACTTACCGTTTCACCCTTTGTATGTGTGCAATGTGGTGGCACCGAGGGCATTCCTGCTGTTGGGCAGCCACCCCCACTGTCCACCTCCAGAATTTTTTAAATCTTCCCCAAACGAAGACCCGGCAGCCACTGGACATGAACTCCCCGTCACCTCCCCGGCCCCTGGCGACCGCCGTTCTGCCTCTGGGGCTGGTGCTGGTGACACTGGGAACCTCACAGAGGTGACGTGTGTCACATGTGTCCTTTTGTAAGTGGCCTAGTTAGCTCAGCATAACGTCTTCAGGGTTCACCTGCTTGGCAGCGTGTGTCAGAATGCCTTTTCTTTTTAAAAAAATGTCCGTATTGATGTCAGAGAGGAAGGGAGAGGGACAGAGAGAGAGAAACATCCACGATGAGAGAGAATCATGAATCGGCTGCCTCCTGCACACCCTGCACTGGGGATGGAGGCTGCAACCCGGGCATGTGCCCTGACCGGGAATGGAACCTGTGACCTCCTGGTTCACGGGTCAACGCTCCACCATGGAGCCACGCTGGCCGGCAGCCTGCGCCACCCGGCTGCGCCCACCTGCCGAGCTCACCTGGCGCCATGTTCTCCTAGGTCAGCACTGCACCTGGACTCCTGCCACTCTGCAGCCCCTGCTCAGTCCCTCGGGCTCCTTCACGGCTACATGACCTGCGAATGACACAGTTCCCGAGGGCTCACCCTGCGGCCTGTCCGCTCACTCCCACTTCCTCCGTGGGGGAGGCTGTCAGCACCCGTGTCTCCTGACCTAAGAGTCACTGTGTGAATTCCTGGAGCGTGGCCAACAAGCACGCCCCACTCATCGACTTTATTTCCTCCCTCCATGTGCCCCCCCCCCCCCCCCCCCGCACTGGTTGGCTTCAGAAGGGCGGCTCGCCCAGTGCCTCCCGCTTCCCTGAGAACTAGCACGGGGAAGCGCGGTGCTGATCAGCCAGGTTAGTGCCAGGACCGCATGGGGTCTTTCCTTGCATTCCTCACTTCTAAGTATTCCCTGCCCACCCCCACCCCCGTGCTTTTCTCCTAGAATACTTGCTTTTGGTTACTACCCCATTTTATTTTAAAAAAAATGTTTCTATTGATTTTATTTGAGAGAGAGAGGGAGAGAGAGAGAGAGAGAGAGAGAGAGAGAGAGAGAGAGAGAAACAGAGACATTGATGATGAGAGGGAATCGTGGATCGGCTGCCTCCTGCACGCCCCCTACTGGGGATGGAGCCCACAACCTGGGCCTGTGCCCTGAAGTTGGAGTGGAACCCGGGGCCCTTCCGGCCGCAGGCCGACGCTCTATCCACGGAGCCACAGTGGCCAGGGCCGTGGCAGTCTTTGGGGCCGAGGCCTAGCATGAGGGAGCTTCCATGGTGAGAAGCTGACTTTGGCTGCTGCTTCGAGAGCAGATGGTCGAGGGAGGGTGGGGAGTGGGTGGCAGGAGAGGCGCGAGGCGATGAGTCAGGAGGCCACGGGAGGGGGATGGTCCGGGTGAGGACGGCAGCCGTGGGGTGGTGAGAAGTGGTTGAGTTCTTGACATATTTCCCAAAAGCTGATTTTTTACAGGCATGCAAAAGAAGGCAATAAACAAGAGGGGCAGAAAGCAGATGTGAAGCAAGGAACAAGCCCAAGATGAGATGGGTGGATCTAACCTACATGTGCCACTAATTAAATTAAATGTAAAGACACCAGATGCTCCAGTTAGAAAGGATAAATTGGCAGACTGAGGAGAGAAATTCACTAACACTCTGTCTGTGGAAGATGTCTGCAAGGTACAGATACAGAAAAGGTGACATTTAAAAGGCAGGTGCCCGGCCGGTGGGCTCCGCGGCTGAGCATTGACCTATGAACCAGGAGGTCACAGTGCGATTCCCAGTCAGGGCACAGGCCCAGGTGGCAGGCTCCATCCCCAGTGTGGGGCGTGCAGGAGGCAGCCGATCCATGATTCTCTCTCATCACTGTTGTTTCTCTCTCTCTCTCTCCTTCTCCCTTCCTCTCTCACATCAATAATTTTTAATTAAGACGGTGGGAAAGGAACACACTATGCAAATTGCAATCAGCAGAAAACTGCGGGGGCCGATCACTGTCAGACAGAACAGGCTTTGGGGCCGAGGGCATTCACCGGTGATGAAGAGAACTGCCTCACAATAATAAAATCACACGTCATAGGAGCAGGGACAGAAAAGACCTGAACTTGCCATTGACACACTTTACCCGAAGGACATATAGAATTTTATGCTCTCAAGAGCTGGCGACTACCAAATGTTTTCAGCGCACACGGAGCACCTATAAAATACTTACCACTTGAGCTTTTCTATGACAATGGGTGGCAATACAGTACTTACGTTATTTAAAAATAAAGAACTTATTGGATTTTGGGATGTGAAGCACATCATACAAAAGTCAAAGGGTTACATCACACAAACGATGTTCTCTGGCCACGCCACAGTTCGGGTAGGCAGATACTCAGCAAGTCCCCGAACGCTGAGCAAACCTAGCACACCCTTCTACATAACTCGTGAGGCCTGCTTCCAAATAACACAGGAGGTTGGGGTGGAGGAGGTCAATGGGGGGGGGGAGGGCGGGGGAATGGGTACATCTGTAATACTTTCAACAAAAATTAAGTTAAAAAGTAAAAGAAAAAGCTAAGATCTGGAGTCTTTAAGCAACACAAAGAAACGCTCAAACGAGAATGATATTTTAATGGAAACGCTTCCTTATCTTCAAGCGTCGGTCTTACCTGTTTGTTGGTTTTCTGCCCAGTGAGGGCTTAGGTATGTCCCCAGGTCAATGGACAACAGACTGGCGGCCAGGTAGCCAGGTGGGTGGGGGTGCTGCTCAGCCCAAGGAGCAGCGGTAAGGCAGGAACAGGGGACAGCGAGCAGAGGGGAGAGAGGCGTGCATCTGATGGAGGGCCCTCACCCTCCACGCCTGTCGCTACAAACCCAACCTCACCACGGTAATTCATGCCCATAGCCCACCTCCTGCTCCTTCCTGTCTAGGGCAGAACAGCAGGTGGGGTCCCAGGCCCTGAAGCCATAGATTCTGTCCTCGGTGCTGAATATACACTGTCTTGGTTGCTCGATCTACAAGCCACTGAACTAGGGGCTGAGTCCAGATACTGTCCTAGGTGCTGAATCGACAGACAAGCCCAGACCCTGGGCCATGAGCGCTGTCCCAGGTGCTGAATCCACAGACACCGTCCTTGGTGCTGAACTCACGCTCTCCCAGGTGCTGAATCCACAGACACCGTCCTTGGTGCTGAACTCACGCTCTCCCAGGTGCTGAATCCACAGGCCCCCTGTCCTAGGTGCTGAAACCATAGGCGCTGCCCTGGGTGCTGAGTTCACAGGCTGCTGTCCGAAGTGCTGAAACTATACCAGTGGTTCTCAACCTTCCTAATGCCGCGACCCTTTAATACAGTTCCTCATGTTGTGGTGACCCTCAACCATAAAGTTATTTTCGTTGCTACCCCATAACTGTAATTTTGCTACTGTTATGAATCGTCATGTAAATATCTGATATGCAGGATGTATTTAGGCGACCCCTGTGAAAGGGTTGTTCGACCGCCAAAGGGGTCGCGACCTACAGGTTGAGAACCGCTGCTACAGGCACTGACACAGGTCCTGGATGTATAGACACTGCCCCGGGCGCTGACCTTATAGGCGCTGCCCCAGGTGCTGAGTCCACAGGCCACTGTCCTAGGTGCTGAAACTCAAGGCACTGACACAGGTCCTGGATCTACAGACACTGCCCCGGGCGCTGACCTTATAGGCGCTGCCCCAGGTGCTGGATCACCAGGACCCTCCAACTGGCGCAGCTACGGCCAGGGTTCTTATTCTTCCGTTGCCAACGCCTGGGCAAGTTAGTTAACGTCTACTTCCCCAAAATGAGGATGGAAACGACACCTTCCACGTGTGGTTACTGAGGAGAAGAGATCAGAAAATGTGTGTGACGATGTCAAGGGTGCCTGGCCCAGAGAGAGGATGTGGTAGAGGCTGGAGCTCAATGTATCCCTCCTCGTGCTACTTCAAACAACTTGAGGGATACATGACAACCAGGGCCAGGAACAGCCCTGGCCAGTGTGGCTAAGTGGATAGAGCGTCGGCCTGTAGACTGAAGGGTCCCAGGTTCCATTCTGGTCAAGGGCACATGCCCAGGTTGTGGGCTCAACCCCCAGTAGGGGGCTTGCAGGAGGCAGCCAATCAATGATTCTCTCTCATCATTGCTGTTTCTATCTCTCCCTCTCTCTTCCTCTCTGAAATCAATAAAAAGTAAAAAATACATGTTACTACAAGCACAGCTGACTCACCGGTGACCCTTAGGTGGGGTCATCCATGTGCCTGACCCCCTAAAACAATGGCTAGATGCTCACTTGACACAACTGCAAATTGATACACTGCCAAGTGGTCTGAGATATTCTCATGGACCTCACATAAATGGCTCAGATTTCTATTTTATACAAATCCAAAAACGGGGCGAGAGGGCCAGGGCCAGCTGAAAACACAATAGACACAGATTGGGTGCTGCGGAGGGGGATGCTGGATTTAACCGCCCGTCTCAGCCCCTGCCATTAGGAGCAATTTAAATTACATTTGGTGGAAAAAATAATAGTATTTCAGGTCAAGGAGAGAGAGCGATGACTGCAGCCAGGATAGCAGGAATGAGAAGAGGCGGACAGAGTGGCAGACATTTGAGAAAACGAGCTATGGAGACCTTTAGACTGATTAGACATGGATGCGGGCTGGTGTGTGTGTGTGTGTGTGTGTGTGTAACCTGTTATGTGGTGTGTGTGTGGGATGTGTGTGCATATGTGTGTAGCATGTGTTGTGCATGTGTCTGTGTGGTGTGTGTCTTTGTGACACACCGTGTGTGTTTGTGTCTGTGTGTTTATGTGTCTGTGTGTTTATGTGTCTGTGTGTTTATGTGTCTGTGTGGTACAGTGTGTGTGTGTGTGTGTGTGTGTGTGTGTGTGCGCGCGCATGCACAATGTGAGGAGACAGACACAGAAGCAGGGGATCAGACAGAGTCTCTACGCTGATATGAACCGCCCTGGCCCAGATCGACGGCCGTGCGGTGGCCCATCGGCCCAACAATGGCCGCGCTGTCCTTACTCCAGAGCGGGGACCTGGACGCAATGAGGGCCGGCCACCTGCCCCACGCTGCCACCAGCCGGGGCCCCGCTGGAACACGACGTGCTTCTCTTTCCTACCAGCCTCTCAGGGCTGCGCACGGAGCACCAGGGACCGCTCACTCCTTCACTCCTCCATCCACTGACCCATCCCGACCACCGAAGCTGCTCAGGTCTTCCACGTGTGAGGGCCATTCCAGACAGGTGGCCGAGGCCTGAACAGGAAGAGGGAAGCAGCCAGGGACCAAACCAGGAGATGTCCCGCCCGGGAGACAGGGTGCTTAAACGGACCGGCCTCTGGAGGAACGGAGACAACATATCCTGTACCCACCTGCTCAGAAACCGCAGGCCGGCCCGGCCGGCATGGCTCAGTGGTGGAGCGTCAGTCTATGAACCAGGAGGTCACGGTTCGATTCCGGGTCGGGGCACAGGCCCGGGTTGCAGGCTCCATCCCCAGTGGGGGAGTGCAGGAGGCAGCCGGCCTGTTTCTCCATCATCGACACTCAACCACTGATCCAGGCCAGCTGGGCAAGGCAAT